GCAGTGTAGAAACATACAGTTAGTCTCCCAGGAAATGTGGCAATGACCCATTTCAATATCAAAGTAATTGAAATCTAGGAAGGTTTAATATGGAAGAACAGATTAGGATTAAGGACAAAAGGTTTCTCAACAGTAGCAGTCCATCAGCAAGTGAGAAGCTGCAGTATGGTGTTCAGTATCCTGCTTGGATTCCACCAAGCCCCAGGCCTCACTCACTAATCCCACTAATCCAAATGCCTGATGACCACACTGCTTTCTCATTTGAACGTAGTCTAAACCAGGAGACTGATTATTTTATATAAAACTGATTACTTGGTTTAAATGGTGTAGAAGATGGATTGAGAATTTAGCTACATGAGAAGGTGACTGATCAGGTCTTAGGCACAGGTGAAAGATTAAAGCCATGTCTCATAGCCCCACAAAAGAACAGGGATGCAGACCAGAAAATCAAGAAAGAAGCTATTAATGCTTGGTGAGCTACAAGTACTTAAGTAAAGGAAAAAGCACTGCTTGGTGAGCTTATAAGGACCCAGGTTTCACCAGCGCACAGGCTTGAAATATGGAATGCTGAATCTACACAAATACATCATGAAAGGATGGAGTTATGCACAACCACGAACATGGTGTCTGCATTTGAGCAAAGGATGTTTTTGTGGAAATCTTGCTTTTAAAACATTTATTCTCCTTAACTAAAGGGCAATTTTGAGACCACAGTTGCCTTATTGGTTGTTAATAAATCTCTCCTGGGAAATTTCCCTCATACTCTTTTCTTTAATTGCACTTACAGGAAAAGGAAAGAAAAATATTTAAGGCCATAGAATATCCCAGTCAAATCTTGCTGACAATGAACTCTGGGAGATAGTTCAAATTCTTTCCCTCTACTAGAATTTTATGAAATTAATTCTACCTTGATCTCTTGATCTCTGGGGACACCAGTATTATCTTCCAAAAAATAAAAGGAAGGTCATTTGATGAGCTCCAAAGGCCCTTGAGGTTCCAGCATTCTAAATTTCTGTAATTCTATGAATATTACTTGAGAAAAGGCAGTCATCTGAGGTTTAAACACTCTGTGTGGTCTTTGAGCCGAAACAATGTCTTTGATTCCTTTTGTGAGGCTCACCATGTATTGTACATTTGTTCAACACTCATACATTTTGCATGTATAACTGTAACCTGGGCACTAGAGAAAATCAATTATTATAATGAACTTTCTAGTGAGTTTGAGTGATGGCACTATTCAGGTATGCCCGTGCCCTATTGTAATAATAGGAGTATGGATGATGCAGTATGATATACATAGTGCAATACACCTACGTGTTTGGAATCCTGGGAAGAAAATACACCATAAGAACATATTTCCATTGTAATAACCATAGGCTATGCCTAGGAATTCATTTATCTGCATGTAAAACTGACCAAAAAATTGTGATGAGGTACACGTTATGGAATTATATACAACAGTCTGGTACATTCTAAAAGAATATTTACTTTTATGTTTCTTAGGACAGAATAGGAACTGGCCCTTACTTGAATTTCCTACATAATAAGCTATACCAATGCCTTTGACTTTCTCTTGAGGATAACTATGTTACAGTGAATTGATTTTCAGAATGTGTTAAACATCCACTGCCTGTGTTTGGTTACATATGAAATTTTAAATTTTCAGAAGTAGCTAAATTTCTTAAACATGTTTGTAAAATGAAAATTTTAAAGTAAATTAATAGGCTTTATGATCAAGAGAGTCTAGGACAAAAATAAGTAAAAGATATGTGCAAAAAAATATGTAGAGACAAGTGTTCATTTCTAAAATGTAGCTGCTCTGTTAAACACAGGAAAGGATAAGAGCTAGCTCCTGGAAGGTGCTAAGAGGAACTGCTTTTTTGACAATAAAACTATTATGAATTCAAATTTAATCAGAATGTTGAAAGCATTCTTGAAGTGTATACAAACTAATTCAGGCAACACAATTCAAAATACGTGGTTGGTACATATGTTCTCAAGGTTTATGCCTCTTTTTTAAGAGTTTAAACTTTGTGAATTCTTTTTTAAATTTTATGCCTTCACTTAAATAATAACCTAAAATACCAACATGAATTTCACATGCTGGGGTATGTATAAGACCATTTGATAGAATCACCCTGCCAAGGTTTTTAAGACCTGCCTTCCTATTTGGGTTTACAATTAAGATGGCATCAGGAACACCATGGTTATAGTCAGCAGAAGCTATTAAAAAAAAAAAAAACTGGTATGTGGGGGGTTAGAGGTAAACCATTCACATCCAGTGAAGATCACCTGACATTACAATCCCTGTATGAATGAGATCTTGCATATTGTTGAGTTAGAAAATGTTCAGAATGAAAACTGGCCATATATGACAAACCAAAATGATCGTGACATAGCAACAGTATCAAATTCATATGGCAATTTTGTTTTAGCCCAACAATCTAATTTATCATATTAAATTAATGATTATAATCCAAATTGTACTATTTTTTAGGCCCTTTCTGTTTAAGCGTGTTTTTGTTTTATAACATGGCGTAAGAACTATAAGGTATGATGCTTACAGCAAGTTTTATGTTTGTATATATTTAAAAAACAGTGCTGGAGTTGATTAAAGTTTTGTTTTTCCCTTTCAATTACAAGTCAGTTATGAGAAACGATATTATAAAAAGTAGTCTTTACCCCAAAATTTATAGTCCTTGAACTAGATTTTACGTTCATTGATATTGCTTCCTCAAAAAACCCATGTAAATTGGATGGGCTAGGTCAACAAGCTAGTGATCAACCTTCATTTGTTTCATGGAGTTGGACAGATGTTGGTGTAAACTCTTATACTGCCTGCCCATTTCTAAATGTGAGAACTTAGGCAAGCTACTTATTTTTTCTTCATTTTGGCACCTCCATATGTGAACCAAGAATAAGAATACTTAGCAGGATTGTTTGGAAAAATATTAATATATAATAAGAATATACAATGATTAATATTAAAAATAGCCCTCTTTTGATAACTATTATTGGCGCCAAATAAGCTTGCCTGACATTTCATAGGCTCTGGACAGTCCATCACAGTCCAGAGCTCCCAGGCAACTTTTCACAGCGTGAATAGTTAACCCTCTTTGAACAAGTTACTAGGTATCAGCCACTTTAAATACATAATCTCTTTTAATCCTAACAAATTACTAGTATCTCTACTATTTTACAGATGAAAAACAGGCCAAGACAGGTTTAGTTGACAAGAAATTGCGCAGATCTGAATGCACGCTAGACTCACTGTAAATCCCCAATTCTCCCTCACCATGTTATTTTGCCCCAAATGAAATTAAAATGCTTGGCATAGATCTAGACTTTTGTAGGTATTCAGTAAATATTATTTCCACTCTTAAGGAAACAATTCACATTTCATTTCACTTCTCGTCTGAGGTACCATGAAGAGAATATCACCCTCTTATCATAAATCACTCGAATTACAGACTTTTGATCACTAAAGTTTAAGAGTGAAAAAGCATAAATATGAAGAAATGTCATGTTAGGTCATGGTAAGGAAAAAGATGCTTATGTCAGGATTTAACATTTCTAGTGACCAGCACCTGGCAGACTGCTGATTTATTAGATTTATTTATTATTTTCATTGTTTCCTTCCCAATAAACAGATGACTCCTATTTACATAACTGATTGTGGAGTAACCTCTGAGCTTTATTAACTAGAATTCTGTTTTCCAAAGTGTAGCCCAAACAAGTTTTTCTTAGCAAAATATAGGACCACATTATAACCATTAGAACTAAAATGACATCTCTCATGACAGAAGAGAACTCAGGCCACTGCCTTTTCATGGCTTTCTCTAATACCTTTTCTGTTGAACTCTTGGTTACAATGCTAAGAATGACAAAACCCCTTACATATGGGTGATGTACTAGGTGATTCAATAAGCCTTTATAAAGTTTTATTTTATTATTTTTATTTATTTTTTTATATTTTTTTGAGATGGAGTTTCACTCTTGTTACCCAGGCTGGAGTGCAATGGCTCGATCTCGGCTCACCGCAACCTCCGCCTCCTGGGTTCAGGCAATTCTCCTGCCTCAACCTCCTGAGTAGCTGGGACTACAGGCACGCGCCACCATGCCCAGCTAATGTTTTGTATTTTCAGTAGAGACGGGGTTTCACGATGTTGACCAGGATGGTCTCGATCTCTTGACCTCGTGATCCACCCGCCTCGGCCTCCCAAAGTGCTGGGATTACAGGCTTGAGCCACTGCGCCCGACATAAAGTTTTATTTTAGGCTATAGGGACAAAATTGTATTAGTGCTACAAGCTAAGCAGGATTTATAAGGCAAATTTCAGTTCCCCCCAAAAAGGCAGTGCTTATTTATAGTAGACAGAAATATCATCTATTAGATACTCAGCAGTGCCTCAAATGATTTTCATGAGCAACAGAATGTCTTTCGTTGACAAAAGCCATAAAGATTAGAGCAAAATTGTATCTTTTTTTTGTCTCCAAATAGAATCAAGAATGACAGTCTATCTGGTTAGCCATGATGGACTTTATTTTATTCTAACATCTAATGCTCACTTGTAGAACAGAGCAACCATCTCTTCTAACTCCACAAATCTTCTTTGGTTCTGCTAGACAACTTAGGGCTTATTTAGATGGTTTAGAACAGGGCTTTCTGGCCCTAAGCTGAGACTGGCACCAAATAAGCTTGCCTGGCACTTTATAGGGTGTGATGAACAGTCCAGAACTCTCAAGCAACTTTTCACAGCGTGATTCGCAATTACTTGTAATTACATATAGCTAGTGGAGCTGCATCTGGAGAAGCCTAATCAGAATTTGTCTTCCATTTAGGAGATATAAAATGACCTCACTCATTGTGTCAGAATTCATCTTTACACTACGGAATGAGCAATAACCTAAAATCAATGCCAATCCACTGGATATGGCATATATACTTGAGAAAGTGTTCCGCAGAATGTTCCTTTCATCACTCTGTGTTTTCTATTTCAGGGCCCACTCTTCCTAAGACCCATGTGAAAACAGCATCCCTTGGGTTGGCTGGAAAAGCAAGATCCCCTTTGCTTCCTGTGTCTGTGCCAACAGCCCCTGAAGTGTCTGAGGAGAGCCACAAACCAACAGAGGATTCAGCCAATGTAAGGGCATCTTTAAAATTCATGCTTCGTCAAGGGAAGGATTGACTGGTGCTGTGCAATAGGATCGAAACCAATGAGTGCTATTATTCATCCCAGGCCATTGTTGTTCTTACTGTTGTTTGTTCTTTTGTTTTCCTGCGCTTAAATATGAAGATGAAATAAAAGCTGTGAAAAAAATTATGTCAGAGACTTAGTTATGTAAAAAAGTTGATTCTTAAGGATAGTCTTAGTAATACCAGATAGCTACAGCATGTGTGGGTTTACATCCATATATGTACATAATATATACAAATACACATGGATATGTGTATGTCTTTGTGTGTGTATATATATATATATATATGTGTGTGTGTGTGTGTGTGTGTATGTATATATATTTCCTCTTCATATTTAAGTACAGGAAAACAGAAGAACGAACATATATTTATATATGTGTGTGTATATATATGTATTTATTTCCAAGAATATATATATAGTCTTTTTCCAAGAATGCAAAGGTATTTCCTCATAGTTATGATTTATTAGGAAATATATATACATACATATATACGTATATGTATGTGTGTGTGTGTATATATATATATATATATATATATATATATATATGTGTTTCCTCATATATCATACCTTGGCATTCTTGGAAATGAATAATATAACTCTTCTTCTTTTTTTTTTTTTTTTTTTTAGTGACAGCATCTTACTGTGTGGCCTAGGCTGGAGTGCAGTGGCTATTCACAGACACAATCATAGTACACTACAGCCCTGAGCTCCTTAGCTCAAGCAGTTTTCCTGCCTCAGCTTCCCAAGTAGCTAAGACTACAGGTGCATATTACTACAACAACTTACACAGTTATTCTTTAAAATTAAAAAATATAATGACAAAAAGCTCTATGATGGGGGTAAAATTTAAAAATATAGTGACAAAAAGCTCTATTATGGGGGATTTTTTAAAGTTTTTATACATCTTACTATTGAAATCATACAATAGCCTAGAAATATAGGATTGCCAAGAAGAAACTACAAAATAAAACAACTGAAGAAGCTTAAGAAATACAAAAAGGAAATGACATATTTAGAAAACAAGACGAAGAAAGTTTAATTATTTAATGACAGAAAAAGTTTTACTAAGGACATAAGCTAAAAAGGGTTCCAATTAGAAAACTGAGAAGGAACATCAATGGAGAAAAGAAAAAAATCAGAATTTTAAGAGAAAAAATATTTATCCCAAAAATGCACTGTAAAGGAGATTCAAAAAGATGTCACCTAAAGGCACTATTTATAGTATGCTTTAGTTGTTTCTGAATATAATTCAAGAGAAAATATTTAAAAGAAGCCTAAAGAATTAACATATCAGATACCTTGAAAAATCAGGGCACTAGAACAGAAAAAAAGATGAAAAGAGCAGATTAAAATTCTACTTTGTTATTACATTTGGATCTTTTTCAAGCATATATTTTGAAATGAGAATGATCTGCCATCCTTCCAACTAGCTTCTGTTTTCTTCATGCATTGATGAAGTCTTCTGCAAAATTTGCAAATAATATATTGAAAAAGGAATTTTTAACAATATCAAGGAATAAGTAGGTCACATTTAATCAGTCCTCTGTAAGCAATGCAACTACCAGTTTTTTTAAATAATAAAAATTATACCTTTTTGATATCTGGCTGTTGGTAAACACAAAGGATAATTTCATTTGAATGAAGAAAACAATACATTTTTCTTGAGTTTTTTTTTCCAGTCCTACAAACAATAAAATATTTTAACTACACAGAGACCAAGGAAGCTGAATATGTATATGTGTCTGGGAATGTTTTGGCAGATGAGTGATAAATACTTAACAATACTTTTCAAAGATTCTAATTTATAAGAATCTAATGCACTTTTGTCAGAATATAGCTGTTTACTTCAATATCTGTTTATTCTCAAGGTTTGTGGTCACATTTCAAATAAAATCAAACTCCTAAATTTACATGAAGTGTCTCATCTCATAAGGAATCATGTCAGATAGGCATATTTTTACATTACAGATTACAGAGTGACAGCCAAACATATAGTATTAAAAGCAACAAGAAACACATACTGAAGGAAATACAGAAACAGGGCAAATAATCTAGACCAGCACTTGCCTATGAAAATATAATGTGTAATTTTAAATTGACTAGGATCCACATTAAAAGATGTAAAAATAAATAGGTGAAGTTAATACCTTTTATCTAGCCCAATATTTCCAATATATTTTCATCTCAACATGCAATAAGTATTTACAATTGTCAATAAGATATCTTACATTCATTTGCACTGTTCCGAAACTGGTATGTATTTTTCCATGTAAAACACATTTCACACCCAACCTAGACTAGGCACATTTTACGAATATCATAGTTACATGGGGCTAGTGGTTGCTGGATGGTACAGTGAAATTTAGACGGTTCGAGAAGAACCAGACAATGAAAACATTTTTGGAAATGAATTACCTAGTAATTCCCTCACTTCAACTTATCTCAAATATATGTAAACAGACTTTTAGCCAAATTGGAAGCTTTTCAGTCCCCTATTAAGCCCTGAAGATAGGGTAGTGTATGCCCAAATCATTCACTGGCATGCTGAGATTTCTATAGGAAACTCATACATTAATACCATACATTTTGAGCTATTTTTTCAGTGGTTGGACTGGCTTTGTGCCTACCCCTGACCCATGCAAATTCTATCAATGCTGTCTTGAGACCAAGTGGATTTATTTGGCAAGATTACATGTACCTCTCTGACTGTGGTACTAAGGAATGTGTCTTGGCCTATGCCGAGCTAGAAATCATGACTCAGGCCTCATTGGTCCAATCATTTAATCAATGGAATGCACTAACCAAGAATAATAGAGCATCTGTATAAGTCAAAACAAATATGTTAAAGGAAAAAAAAAGAAAATTAACAATTATTGAACACTTACCACGGGGCTGCACTGACTTGTTGAATCCTCTTAACTACTTAAAAGGCAAGCTGGCTATTCTCATTTTACAAGTAAGGAGAGACTGACTCAAAAAAAATGTGCAAGCATGTAAAAGGACTGGGATTCAAATCAGTGTCACATCTTGTTTTCCCATGTGGCTTACACTCAAAACTACCTGAGAATTTTTCTTTTAATAAGGATTTCTAGGTCCTTCCCATACCTTCTGAAACAGAATCCTAAGGCTAGTGACCTGGTATTTGTGATAACTAACAATCTTATTACTTATTGGCAGGGCAATAGCAACTTACAGTGAGTAAGTTTACAGAGTGAGTTAATCACAGTTCACCAGGCATTCTGCAGTTCAACCTCTTCTTTTATCCACCATTCAAATTGTGCAAAAGAGGACTGACTCTGGTTTGGGACATGAATTTTGTTTCCACACACAAACTAAAGTCATAATCCCCAGGCATTTCATTGATCAAGGCAAAGCCCATTGAGTTCTCACATACAAAAAAAACTATGTCATGATAAACAGAAAAAATAATCTCTTCCTATCTTGATGGGTAACCTAGTGAGCTAATGTATTAAATATCCACCATATGTCAGACCCCATCATGTCTCAGGAGGCTCAGAATAGCCTATTAAATAGATGTCATTATCATTTTATAGATGAAGAAAACTGTATCAGAGAAGTGCACTCACTTGTCTTAGATCACAAAGCTAGTAACTGGGAGAACTTGATTTGAAACCCAGTCTTTTTGACTCTGAAACATCTTCCTTGTCCCAGTTGGAGATGGAATGGCTGAAACAATATGCAATCTCTTATTACGCACTTTTTAATTACCAGCATCTCCATTCAGTAAATATATTCCTAGGACAGCACTGGCTGTGGGCTCCTAGGTCAGACTTGAGAATACTGAGGGCCCCAACTAGCTGTGGCCCCAGCCTTCATAAAGAAATGGATCAATATTTGGTACTAACTCTTGGCTGTCATTCTCTCCATAGGTGTATGAACAGGATGATCTGAGTGAACAAATGGCAAGTTTGGAAGGACTCATGAAGCAGCTTAATGCCATCACAGGCTCAGCCTTTTAACACGTATTTCCAAATGGATGAGGAGAATTTTCCGGGAACTTTGCAGCATACCAATTACCCATAAACAGCACACCTGTGTCCAAGAACTCTAACTAGTGTACAGGTCACCCATCAGGACCACTCAGTTAAGGAAGATCCTGAAGCAGTTCAGAAGGAATAAGCATTCCTTCTTTCATAGGCATCAGGAATTTTCAAATGATGACTATGAGGTCCCTAAACAAAAGCAAAATGCATTTCACTGCAATGTCAATTTAAGCTGCTAGAATAGTCCTGGGCCTTTGCCACTGCAGTGACCACACTGTCATAACTAATGCCTACGTTTTCCTTTGTCAAGGCCTGTTGTTTAATGTGTAGGTCTAGTCTCACAAAATGCAAGTGCATTATTTAAGCCTGTACCGTACCATGGCAAACCGGTGCGAGCTCCCTATTTTATTTTCAACTTTAACATACAAAGCACCCACGGGAATCTCTCATGCCATAGCACCAAAGGATTGGATGTTTTCCTTACAGCACAAAAAGTAAATAGTAAACAAAAGGCAGAGAATGCTTATGTTTGTAACACAGTCATTCATCTTGCACAAGTGGTGGATATTAGTGAGTGGCTATAAAATTCACTCATTTTGGCTAGTATTTGTAAATCCACCCTTGGTTAACATTTATGTCTGGAGTCCAGGAACATAAAAATCTACAACTAGTGGTGTTCTGCCAGCAGCAGTACAGTACATTTCCGGAAAGAGGATATAATATGCAATCTTCTCAGACACATAGTAATTACATGATGAAGCTTGTAATAGGACATTTTTCAATTTGGGTGGCTTTTGTGCCATACCACACTGTGATGCAATTTCAAAGCTTCACCAAGGCCATCTTCCTTAGGAGTTTGACCAGAAGAATGCTCCCAGCCCTTCACCACATCCCTTCCTGAGTTCTCCTTGGCAACTAGCATTGGGTGAAATAGCCAGCTCCACATGTCATATGGTGCACTGGCCAATGTCACCTGTCTTCTTTCCCTGTAGAAATGGCAGACTCCCTGAGAGCAGGCCCCAAGGAAGGGAAGGTATATAAAAGGTAGCTCCTAACAGTACCTTCTCTTGAAGAATGCCAACTCTGACTGCAGGGTCAGTGTTGGTAAGCATTGGCCACTAAACTCTGTTGTCAAGGGAATCTTTTACACCACACCTGTGTCAGAGTCAGGGGGAAGCAGAGGGGTAGGTTCCACCTGACACTTCTGGCACATCATAAATCCAGCGGATACTTTTCAAAGCAGCATCTTAAACTGTGGTTTTAAACTCCTATTGTCATGTTTATCTACAGCTTGGAACTAGCTAAAATTAAGAACATCTCGTGTGCAACCTTTTAGTTTCTGAATTTTCAGCAGCATTTGGAGTTAATTCCTGTTTATGCAGCTGAATTGCCAAAAGGGAGCTAGTTTGCATATTTATCAGTTAGGTGACTTGAAAACCCAATGACAGAGTTTTAGCTGAATTATTCCTTTCAGCTCTGCCTTTGATTTCAAGCTTGAGTAGGTCATAATTCTAAAAGAGCATGGAAGGGATAGGATCTTTACAACCTAATAGCTCCTTTTATTAGGTGGGTAATTATATATGAATCTCCCTGAATAAAATATTTTGAGCAAAATGGCACTGTAACAGAAGTAATAATTCAGATTATTTTTTTACAGTTTTATGTCAGGAAGGAAATCTGATGTCAAAGAGAGGGCTGTTCAAATGGTTCCTTAGAAAGTCTGGTCCATTTGCGAATTTGGTCCTTCAACAAGAGTGCTCATTCAGTTTACTCAGATTTCCTGGAAGTCTTTCTGAAGAGTTAGGTGACGTTATCCTATGGGACAGATTATTTTTGTTTAACATCTGGACATTTAGGTAGACAACCTTCTACTGACCTGGAATAAAGTGTTTCCTAACATATTATTGAATTATTCAGAAATAATCCATTACTTCAAAAATGAAAATATTCATTGGGCTAGCCCAACATTCTCTAGGCCCTAAGAATTGCCTCCCCTTTCTAATTCTAGCAAATATGGAAAATTCTCTTCGGGCACTTGACACCCATGAGGGTGATCTTGAGTGTTCAGTTTGAAATAGGTTGCAAATCTTAGATTTTAGGGATTAAGTCACACCTTCAATCTGTAGAATATAGTTGAACAATTAAAAAAAAACTATCATTTTCACAAACTTTTAGATCCTTCTAGTCAAAAACAATTATTTATGAAATAAAAATTTTAAAAATTCATTTAAAATATGTTATTTGCCTTTAGTGGAAGTTATATTTCTTCTGCATGCTCTTGAAACTTTCTTCATTAAATTAAGATAAAGTGATTTATCTTAGTAACTGGCAATGCCACTGATAGCACCATGCATTGAAGCTATAACAGAATCAATTTAAACATCCTCAAAAACTCTAGTATCATTTACCTGGTAGTATTAATATACAATGACTTCACCACAACTTTTGTATAACTCTGTTCCCTTCACCCTCAAATGATTCATATATGTGTGCAATTGCCTGCCCAAGTTTTCAGGTAACTGATTAATTTCCCAGTCTCCTAATCTCATGACAAGAAGAAACCCATGAATACTGTGAGCTAGCCTCTGATTTCCTCCTAAGTCTAGTTCATGGTATGCAGGACTCTTTAAGCTCATAAATCTCTCTGATTCCCATTGGGTAATACCTGACAGCTAGCCAGCAGCTCTGCCACCAGAACTCATCTCTCCTTGAAAAGGAAGAAAATCATACTTGGCAGAGCATTCTCAGGCCTGCCTTATATTGTGCTGAAATGTCAGGCACGATCCTTTTCTCAAAAAAAAAAAAAAAATAGTATTTTTCTTTGTATTTCACTCTGATAAGAAAGCTATTTTCTTTCCTCTGCAGAAATTTCTTTGTTAAATTGACAAAAATTAGATAGTTCAAATGTATAAAGAATATTTGGGTGATGCTCTAGCCAAAAGTTAAATATTTTGTAGTGAATTGTCACCAATAAGAAACCAGTCAAACTTGCCTCTTTGAATAACAGAAATATAAGCTTATAAGTTTCGAGAATACTTAAATAATGAAACTTTACATTTGGGTATTATAAAATGCACACTCAATTGAACGATCTGAAAAAAGTACCAAGCTAGTGATGTAAGTGGAGATTTATTAAGGATTCCTGTTGAATATATTCTTAGTTTCTTCAAAATAAGGATTATTCAAAATTAGGTGTACGTTCAGTCCCCTGCCTTGGTTCCAGCTACACAAAAAGAGACATCCAGCATTGGTGTGATGTTCCAGACAACGTTCAGAAACTAAAAAGTTGGGTACTCATTGGCTTTTCCAATAAAGAATCTCTTAAGTACAGATATTTCTAGAAGCTGTTGTTGTCTGTGCTTGAAGATGATTGCTGATACTTATCCACCCTTTGGGTACTTCTATTGACTTTGTTTAAATAATTATCTTATGGTTGTCTCCAAATGTAATACGGTATCTCGGATGTGGGAGCTGGACTGTAATTAAAACAAAAGGTTACCCCTAAAGATAACATCTTACCATTTGAGATAAAATTATTTCCCAGAATTCGTATGGCTTTGAAATGTCCTTTTCTAGTAAATGAAAGAAGGAAAAATAGAAAAATTGTCTAGTTTCAAAGAAACAAAATGTGTTCAAAGAAAACAAAATCATCTGAACTTTAAAATAGATGCGGAGCAGGGTTACTTTCCCTTTCACTCAGCTCACTCCATGCAACCACAGGCAGTCCCGCAGACCAGAGGTTACTGTCCCAGCCTGCTCATAACCAAATGTAATAAAGAGCCCACAACCTTCCAGAGATGCAAAAGCAATCATACACTCACGTCTACACTCTCTCTCCTTTTGTAAATCACATTCAAAGCAACATTTTACTCATAATTTGCATTTCTCTGGTGACTTTCAGAAATCACTTTAGTATTGTACAGAAAAGCTTTTCATTTGAGTCCAGTGTTTTAAATTAAATTGGATACTTTGGAAAATCAAGGTTAGGTGTTTTGTATGCTATTCCATTCCAGTGAAAAATATATGTACCCATGCCTCAATGTATCTTGCTAACTAAATACCTGTTGCCAAAAAGCATTGATTTGGAAAAAAAAAATGCCTATTCCCTGGTCAGTGAGGTTATATAGGAGGCAAAATACCACATCCATATCAGCAAATGAATATTGCTACCGATCTGGACTCTTCATTGCTACTACTGCATAGTGTTCACATGGCAGACTTCCAGTTGCACTCTCTGAAGGACTTTTTTCTCTTGCGCTCAATAGAGAGCCTTTGTACATTGTCATCCTACGATTTTGTTGGTAGAAGAGCAAGAGCAAAACTCTACAAGATGTCAAAATCACAGAGGCATGGGCCAAGGGATCTCACTGTATGCTGAACGTATATTTTCAGATGCAAGAAAGGAATGTTGGAGAGGAGGAGAAATGCTGTTTTTTATTATTGTAGGGTAAATCTGACAATTCTGAACTTTGTGAATTGTCAGCTTGTTTGGGGGAAGGGTGGGTGGGTATGGGGCGTACTTTTTATAAGTAATATTTAATTTATTATTTAGAGTGGCTTCTTTTTGGATAATTTATGATAAAAAGGGAGATCTGGTTGGGATCTAGTTACGGCTGTTAAAGCTGCAGTGTTCCATATCTCAGAGGGACCACTTTGGAAATGAATTGTCCATTGCTGAGTATGAAGAGATGTCCAGTCCAGGCAAAGCCTTCACTGAAGTTCCATCATCTCCACCTTCTCCCTTTCTAGGGTAATTCAAAGATAACACCAAACCAGAAATAATGCTGAAAGCATTTTGCGATCAATGCTACTCATTCAAAGGGCTTTGCAACTCAGATTGTTAGTGTGCTAGTGATAAGTTTATTTGGTAGAAATGGGTATACTACAGCTTTAACTAGCCTTAGTGAGAAAAGAAATTTTTTGTTGTTACAAAACACCTTTTTTTTACAAAAAGGTATTTTGAACCTACAAAAAATTTCTTTACATTGTCAGATTCTAGCATTGTTAACCAAATTAGACTAGTGTTTGCAATATTTAAGTGTAAATCTTGTTCTACGAGAAAGGAAACTTGCTTACAGTTTAAAACAATGACTGTTTCTACACACGATCTTGTATACTACTACACAAGGAAAAGGGGTTTTGTAATCACTGTAGAACAGTCTCATATTCATTTTTTATAGAAATGTTATTCCAATGGTGCATTTTTTTGTTTAATAAATAAAGTTTTGATACAAAGTTTTTTCTTTGTGTTATTTATAGTCAATGCTGTACTGCACACACAGCCATAACCTTGCCTATTTGTATCCTTAGGATTCATCTTCTTACTCTATTGGTGTGACTGTAAAGGAATACCTGAGTTGATTAATTTAATAAAGAGAAGAGGTTTAATTAGTTCATGGTTCTGCACACCGTACGAAAGTGTGGTGCCAGCATCTGCTCCTGGTGAGGCCTCAGTCTGCTTTCAGTTATGGCAGAAATCCACATGTGCAGAGATCATACAGCAAGAGACAGAAGTGGGAGGTGCCAGACTCCTTTAAGCAATGAGTTCCCTTGGGAACCAATAGGATAAGAACTAACTCATTATCAGGTGCACTGCACCACATCATTCAGGAAGAATCTACCTCCATGACTCAAACCCACCCATTAGGCCCCTCTTTCAACACTGGGGATCAGATTTCACCATGAGATCTGGAGGGGTCAGATAT